GGTTCAACACAGCAGGGCCGCGTCCAGACCTCGGGTAAAACTCAAAATTAGCTCGTCAAGAGGCTTTTCCACTTTTTCTGGAAAGGAAAAGTACAATCCGGGGCTACCCCAGCCTTCCCACTGCTCAGCGAAGGGGCACTGACACCTGTACAGGCCTCGTTACCACCAGCACCAAGAAGTCCACGGCAAGTGCACCACAAATAACAACATCTATGATCACTTAAAAACACTTTTATTGTTTTCAGGTTGCAAATCTCGGAAGCTCCCGCACGCCAGACCTGCCAGAAGACAGGGCTGACACCAGCTGTGAAGCCTCCACCCCCTGCCCTCAGAGCTGAAAACCAGATTTTCCTCCAGTTCAACAGTTACAACCTGATACAATTTTCTTCTCCTTCACAGCCACAGTCAACCACAGCGAGATCTACTATAGAAATAAACCTACAGGGAGATAAAGATAGAAAACACAGTGGCGGAAGATACAAAACCCCTGATGCTGCATTATCTGCTGTTATTTCTTGTGCTGCTGACAGACCCAGCCCAGGCACAGCCCACACTGTGGTCGTTCCCAAAGGATTTTCAAGCCAGAGACACTGCTGCAACACCTCAGCCACACATTCTGCACAGCAAAAGCCCTTGGGAACAAAGAAGAATTCTCTTACAAAGTTAGAATCAAGCCCACTGGCATTAAACCTTCCCTTTATATTTACAAGGCAAACAGCACTGCTGCTTTTAAAGGATCTCTTTTTTTTTTTTTTTTTAAGAGGGTGAAAGAATCTGTAAAAGCAAGGTTGTTTTCTCACTAAAAAATACCAACCATGAAAGCTCACATTCTTATAAAATCAATTTTATAAGTGAAAATAAGGTATATACAAGATTTTTACTGACCAGAGTTCACAATCACCTGCCAACTGATTCACTACAAGATCAGAAGAAAAGCTCTGTGGGGAACGCCAGCACGTGAAGGTAGTGACTCTCCAGGACTCCATTTCGGGTCATTGACACCTTCATTAATGGGTGTTGATAAATCCTTTATTAATGGAAGAATAAAGAACAACTGCAAAGACTTTAGTCCACCTTCATCAGTATCGCCTATTCATCTTCTTGAACTTCTCATAGTGGTAATCATCTGTTGCCTTTTCATTGAGAGGACGTTTGCGATTTGGAGGAGACCCTTCAAAAGGAAGAGAAAGAAGGATTATTTCCTGTCCTTCCAACCTCTTGAATTTCCCTTCAATCTGTTGCTTCTTCATTGGCTGGACATTTGCAATTTGGAGGAGATCCTTGGAAAGAAATAGAAGGAAACACTTCCTTGTCCTTTCACAAGAGCCGTTTCCTTAACTCCACCACTTCCCTTATATGTGACAGGTTATTGCTTTAGCTGTCACTGCTCCTCAGCCTCGCACCCCTTCCTGTTCCAGCTTTCACCAAACCCTTGTCAGCCAGCTTTGGCAACATGTTTCAGGTGTGAGCTTTGCTGCTCCACCCTTGGGCATCCCTAAAGAGGTCCTCAATCCAGAGGATTTCATGTGTGACCTCACTGGGGTACATCAAGTGCATCAGCCTCTCATGGACTTAAGATTGCCTCTCTTGCCCCACTATCTCAGGGCACCAGGAGAAGAGGAGATAAGAGCTAGATCATTTCTCTGTGCAAGGCCCCTGGGGAGCTTTGGTGTCTCTCATGACATTTCAGATTAGGATCTTACGCTCAGGTTCTGGCCTCTCTGTATCTCCCACTCTCAGAGGACGGGGCTTTGGCTCTTCTTTGTTCCTTCGAACTGGTGCATTTAGCTCCTCGTGATAAACTGAAAGAAGGAGAACATCAGATAAGGAATTTTATCTGGAGCAGTGTTATTCAGACAGACATATTTCCATAGCATTTGTTCCAACTGATCTTCAGCAGAAACAACAGACCCTCAGAACCAGCATTCTTGTCATTGTTTTCTATGGAGAATCAATACAGGCAAGATGGGAGACAGCAAATTTCAATAGCACTATTTCATCAAAAGTGGCCCAAAGACTCTTAATTTCCTTCAGAACACATAAATCTGACTCCAACCCACTCCTGTAAGCATGGTTAGACACAGCAGAAGGCCTCCAGATGGCTGTGGTATGAGAGGCTCTCCCGGAAATTAATTCCCAACTCCTGTCTAGTAACGTCTATGTTTGCTTGACCACCTGTCTACTTTGGCAGCCTACAAAATGGATTATCCCAATTATAAACCATCATTTAGAATCACAGACAAGGCAAGCATTTCCAGCACATGCTCAAGACACAACTTAAAGAAAAAGTCTTGAAATTTATGGGGTAGTGTGAGCTGGGAGTTCAAAAGCAGAAAGTCAAGCCATGAGTAATATGTCCCTCTCCTTGCTGATGGATGGAAGAAAAAGACCAAGCCAGATGGGGTCTGTATGAGCATCCCAGAAAAAGGAATCAGGCAACTGCTTGTGCTGATACATGAACTGATCTCTCCTGCATCAGATTCTGTCCCAACTGCTTTTCTTCAGCAGCACAGAAGGTCACACCTGGGTCAGGAGAGCTACATGACACTTACATCTGTTGTGCTGGACGTAGTTAACGGCCATGTTGGTGGGAACAAAGGAAGTTTCACTGTCTTTCTTTTTGTTCTGCTGCTCTGCCAGCAGCTTGGCCTTGGCCTCTTCAGTTGAGATGATGTTTTTTATTTTTGCACTAGAAGAAAAACAAATTAAAAAATTTTCATTCATATTTAGGAAGGGTAACAAGCACAGAAGTGCAAAGTGAATGATTTTGGGGATAGTACCAGCACTGCTATGATATTTGGTGTGTTTCTTGAGAGAGGAGGCAATGTTATAGGAATAGATGCTTTGTTTCAAAGTCAAAAGGGAACAGCCCATCCTCTAGTCCATCCTCTTTCAGTGCAGGGCTTAGACTGATCCTCCAGAAAGGAGATTCAAGTCACAAAAATTAAGGGCCTTTTCCCAGCATACAATGGCGCTGCACTGGAGCCCTAAAACTGCAGAACAATCTGTGCCAGATACTGTGTTAACCCAGAACAAGGCTCAGCCCCATCCCAGGGCCAAACTGGGGCAGTATATCCAGCCATCCCACTGCTCTGCCAACCAGCAGTCGCTCACCCTGGCAATTCAGGCCATAACCAACAGATCTGTGAACCACATACTCAATTCCCAGATCCACTTCAGGAATACCACTCAGCATCTGGTTGGACAACATCTCCTCAGTCTTCTTTGCAGAGGAGACACGGATGTTCTCTGGCAGCTCATACAGAGAATCCTCGGCGTTCTTAAGCTTCACCTTCTGCTCCTCATTCTCCACAATCCCCTTTCTCTTCTTCAGCTCAGTCTCAATGTACTTCATCCTAAACAGCCACACACAAAGGACACACACAATTGAATCCTGTTTGCCCTGCTCTGTGGCAGCACTGCTGGCACAGCTGCATCACTGTCCTGATAGCCAGGAGAGAGGCAAGAATAACCTCTCCAAAACAACTCAGCTGACATCAATTGCAAGAAGCCACTGTCCAAGAAATTATCACATCCTACAAGCTCTTTCACGACCAGCAGGGAAGGCTCCTGCTGGTATTTAATTCCAAGCTGACTGGTTGGCACCTCCTATCTTTGACCATGAAAAAGTCCTCTAAAGCCTGGCAGCCAAGTGAGTTTCAGGGAGAACTGGGAAGATGTTCTGGGACTACTCAGCATCCGAAACAGAAAAAAAATAGATCATTTTGAGGACCCCTCCAAGACTGAATTCAACATCCCAGCCACAAGGCAGCACAACTTACATGTCAGCATCTTCATCCCGCCTGTTGGTTTCAGCTGAGAAGGAAGTTCCCAAGTTTAGATCTTCCTCTTCATTAATCCTAAATAGAAAACAGAATGGGTTTTTGTTTTGGTTTGTTGAGGTTTTTTTTGGTCTGTTTTGCTTTTTGTTGATTTTTTTTTTGGATATAAAGTAATTTGGCAAGTCAGAGTCACAGTGACTGGCCAACCTGCATCATGTTGAACTCTTCAAAGCAACACCACATCTGGTTACTTCATTATTAGCTGTCATTTAATACTAGTCCAGGCAGAGATCTTCAGAGCTCATATGCACCCACCTGTCCTTGCCTCTTTCTTTCAGCTTCTTCATGTCCACCATTCCCCCAGATTTTATTTTAAATGGGTCATCCTGTAAAATAAGAAACCATGAGAAACCCTGAAGCTTCCCTCTAGTTTAATGCTACAAGATCTGGATAGAAACACAGAAAACATGTAAGTATTGAGCTGTGACATCAGTCCTACCCCAGACCAGACTCCTCACAGTGGTTTGTACTACACCAATGTTTACATCTTAGCACTCAAGTGATGAAAGTGTTCAGCACTTACCACAAGAGTTGCTTCTTCTTGCAGCTTCTCTCCCACAAGCAGAGCTACAGCACTAGGCAGGAGGATAAAGTAAATAAAATTCAGTGGAAAGAAACATTACCAACAATACTGCACTCCTTTATCTTCCAAATCTAGCAGATGGTCTCACACACAGCATTAACACTAAATTGTGATGATTTTGGCAAGAACAGGGTTTTGGCACTCTTTGACATGCAGTGGTTTCTACTGAAAGGAGGCACAGGACAAGAGGGACATTTACTGGTACATTCCACTGTTGGACAAAAGACATCTTGACACCCTTGGTGCTACAGCCCTTACCTCACCCCATTGGGCCTCTTTCTGAGGCTCTGAACTTCTTTGGCTTCCTCAAGTTTTAACCTGAAGAAAAAAAACAACATTTGACTTAGTATGTGATGATTTGGTTTCCATGAATTAATTTGACTTTTGGCAGTTACCACAGAATCTTCAAGACAAACTTTGCCCCAAATCTCTGCATTTCAGTGTTCACTTTGGCTACAAACTAGACAGATATTTTCTATTTTACTTTACTTTTATTTTATCAGAAAAAACCCCAACCAAACAGGTGGCATCTGCTGGATCTGCCCCTTCATGATGCCTTCCCTCAGCTGAGGAAAGAAGCACCCAGACACTGAAAAGCTTTAACAAGAACCAATATGGGAAGAACAAGCCAAGAATCCCTGGTCCATTAAGCTCTGCAGACAATACTCTCCTCACAGTAATAGTCACTAGGTAAGATGAATTAACACCTTTACTCCTTCAACGACTGACACGAGGTGAGGAAATAGTACAGTCATGTCTCAGGAGGAGGGAAAACTAACGAAGCCCTGAATTTACAGCACAATTAGCAGAAGCTCAAGTGAGTACAAGGCACCTGGACTGGTTGTCAAGTCACACCAGTGCACGAGTAACTCAGGAGCAAATTGATGGCAGCTTTAAATGTTGAGTTTCACTGTTCAGAACCACGAATGGTTTGGGTTGGAAGGGACCTTAAAGATCACCCGGCTCCACCCCCTGCCCTACAGCCTGACAAGCATCCTTCACTTCTCCAGCTATTGACGCTTTTCCTAACTATTCACGCCTTTCACTGCCCGCCACGACCGACGCTTCACCCCGGATTTTCCAGGGGTGAAACGGGCACAGAGCCCCAAGGCCCGGAGCGGGGAGGGGGCAGGCCCCGCATCTCCGGAGGGGCCGGACAGCCCCGGGGGACGGGCCAACGTGCTGCCCCGACCCCCGAGCTCGGGAAAAGAGACCCCTTCCCCCCCCACGGCCCGGACGCTGAGACCCCGGAACGCAGAACCCCGGCTCGGTCTCCGCAGGGCCCAGCCGGGCTCTCCGCCGCACCCCGACCCACCTGACCTCCTCAGCGACCTGCTCATCCTCTTCCTCCTCTTCGTCCTCCTCCCTCCGCCGCCGGAAGGACTTCTTGGCCTTCATGGCTCCCGTACCCGCCGCTCCCCG